ACCCTTCTAGGTCATCCAAGCTGTGCGCCGCCTCTACAACTCCAAAGGCACGAAGCTCCCTCTTCCCAGGATCGTGGAGCTTAATCGCCGCCTCGTCCAGGGTTACGAACGCTACAAAGACGACCCTCGCATCGTCGAACTCAAGAAGGAAGTCACCACCTACAACGGCAAGCTTAAGGCGCTCGGTCTCCGGGATCATCAGGTGCAATACGCCAAGATGCATCCTATTACGGCATTTGGGCTTTTCTTCTACCGTCTCGGAAAGCTGCTCTTCCTGAGCATGCTCGTCCTTCCCGGAACTCTGCTCTTCAGCTTGGTCTTCATTGTTACTAAGGTTGTCTCGATCAAGAAGGCCAGAGAGGCACTCGCTGCATCAAACGTCAAGGTTCAAGCCAGAGATGTCATGGCTACGTGGAAGCTTCTCGTTGCCATGGCCGCCGCCCCAACAGCTTACGCCTGGTATGTTTGCTTGGGACTCTACTGGTACTCCTACAACCAATGCAACGGATATCTTCCCGCTGGCATTCAGAAGCGCTGGCTCATCATCCCCCAACTCGTCGTCTACGTCACCCTCACATACGGCGCTCTCCGATTCGGCGAAGTCGCCATGGACATCCTCAAGTCACTCGGTCCCCTTTGGAAGATGATGAACCCCTTCTCCAACAACGAACTCGTCAAACTACAAGAGCGACGCGAGAACCTCGCCCAGCGTGTGAACGACATCATCAACGAACTCGGTCCGGAGATGTACGAGGACTTCCACTCCAAACGCATCGTCGAGGATCCTTTCATCAAGCAAGAGCGTCCCAACACACCACCGCAGAAGTCGGACGAAGACGCGGAAAGAGAAGCAGGCCAGGACATCGAAACCTACGACTACCCCGCGTCACCCGGCTCCATCAACGAGATACCGCGCAACGAATCGTTCCACGACCTTGCCAACCAAGACTTCTTCTCTAGTCGACCGCAGACGCCGAAGAAGAGCCGTAGTAGGAATAGTAGCAGTGCGAACCTCGGAGGCTTCCAGCTCAAGCCTTTCAGCACTATTGATGGCAACCTAGATGAGGTGAAGAGGAGGCTGACAGATGGTGTCAAGCAAAGGACGCGGAAAAGAAGGAGTAGCGGAGAAGGAAGCTGGGACGACGTCGAAGATGGCGAGGGCCTGACAATGGGAGGAAGGAAAGAGCGCTCGTATACCAAGTAGTTTTTGGTCGTGATGGTAGTTTGGATGAGCGGTGTGTCGGTTTTGTTTGTGCGTTAGTACTAAAGATACCACTTTCCTTTCTTCCCAGCGGTCGAAATTGGATATGTTATGCATGAATACGATTTGCTTGCTATGCTTACTTGTAATGCTATGCTGTGTTGTGGTTGTGGTTGTGCTATGCTAAGTACTCTTGTAATATCATCGCTTGTACATCGTTCGCCCTGCCTACAAATATGCCTGAATCAATAGAAAGAAGTTACGGATATCCCCATCCAAAAATGCCAAATCATGCAAAAGCGCTGTGCCCAGATCAAACCTTTCCTCCTGCAAAAGTGGTATCTTGCCTTTCCTTTCTTACCAAATCCAAATCATCGCCTTCCTCTGTCCAAACCAGTACGTGACGCAAAGAAATCTCTCGACAGACGATACAGTGCGTATCGACCCATCTACCCAACAACAGCCTTCTGACTCAGTTTCTCCAAAAACCCACTGAGGTCCTCCTTCTTAATCTCAATCACACACGCCTCGAAACTATCCATTCTTACTCGGGCTCCCGTCTCCCTGACAACCTCTTGGAACGCATTGCCGAAGCGATTCCTGCCGGAGCCCCTCTCCTCATCCTCATCTTCACTATCCTCAGAGTCGTTATACGAGGAATCGGATTCTTCGGCTTCGGACTCCGATTCATCAGCAACCTCGTCTTCTTCAAGGCCCGCAGCAAGATTCCGCGCAACACGTGCTTTGCGACGTGATTCCCTTGCTTCAGCCTTTTGCGCCTGACGTGCCTCTTTGGCCTTAAGTTTAGCTTCTCGTTTCTGAAGACGGGATTTAGCAGATTCAGTTGCGCCGCCGCCGCCGAGACCGACAACGACATAAAGACCGCGAGAGTCGTCGAGACCGGCCATGACGAGCTCACTGCCTTTGTTCTTGCCTTTTGTGCCATTGAGTTCGACGATGGCTTCGGCGATCCAGAGGGCGAGTTTGGTGAGGGCGCCTGGATGGGTAAAGAGTTGGACGTCGGGGCCTTCTTTTACGACGGCCATGCGGAAGGCGCGCAGGTGGCGGATCTGTTTCTTTTCAATTAGGGCGGTTCCTGTGCGGAGGATCGCGCGGTGGAGGTGTTGGGCTGTGCTGATGTGCTCGACTAGGCGGTCGATGTCGCCGAGGGCGTCGTAAGCGGTCCAGAAGCGGCTGGTGATGTGTTCTTGAGCGAGGTCTTGTTGTTCTTGCGTGGAGGAGGGCATCTCGGTGTGGTCGTTGGCTCCGACGAAGTTGGAGCTGTCGAGGGCGGACTGGTTCAGGTTCTTTGCGTCGCCGACTTCGAGGATGGCGCCTAGGATTACGCCGGCGTCGATGGCGGAGAGACATGCTTTCCAGCCCCAGCAGCGCACGAAACCCCATCCGTCTTTGGGGTCGCCTGTACCTGACTTTGGTGGTACGAGGCCATCGAGACCGTATTGTGGAGCGAATTTCAGAAGGCGTTCTCGGAGACCACGCTTCAGCTCCATATCCATGTGTGTATATCTTTGCTTGCACTCAGTGAGTGACACACCCATCTTGGCAAGGAGTTTGGCAAGTCGCTTCTGCCCCGCATCGCTCCAGATGTGTAGTTTGGCAGAGAGGTAGGGCGAGTGCAGCATGCTTTCGTAAAGAGACCAATGCCTGAGGAGAAGGAAACGCGGCTCGGGAGAGAGGCGGATTGACTTGTCGGTTGCTGAGAGGGCGCTTGTGGGGATGACACCCCACACTTCACCCATCGTTGCATTGCGGGACACACTCGAAGCGTCCGTGACAGGATTCAGTCGCCGTACTTCGTCTCGTAGGACAGAGCGTATGTTCTCTCCTCGGTTGCCATTCCATCCTGCTGAGCCACCTTGTGCTGATAGTGGGTTTAGACCAACACCGCTTCCTGTCCGCCCGTATAGTTCCAGACTGCTGACGCCGACGATGGCATTCCATAGCAGGTCGTTGTCTTCGCGGCCAAGTTCTGACGCTAGGTTGTATACGAGAGAAGAGACGGGGTCTGAGTAGGAAGTGCCGAGTCCGTAGTATTTATCGAGTGTAGATGCGTACTTGTTCCGCTTCTTGATCAGCTGCCTTCGTAGGCTCTTCAGAGACTTCTCTTTGGGTGCGGCTACTGATGGGGATGCGGAGCGGCTGCGGGAGTCTGAACGAGAAAAGTCGGAGGAGCCGCCTAGTTGTTGCGCTGCTAGCAGGCCTCTTCGCCTTCTCGGTTCGGGTGACGATGGTATTGAGCCTCCCTGGGTAATGTTAGCATGGCCTCCGTCTGAACATCGACTATACATACCGAATTACTCCTCCGTCTTTGTGCTGGCCGTTCATCGTCTGTCATGTCATCCTCAGAGTCGTCTTCCTCGCCCCACGACTTCCGCTTCTTCGGTGCTTGTCCAGACGGCGGCTCCTCATCATCCTGGTCGTCCGAGTCGTCGCTGATGTCGTCTTCTTCCCCCACCTCTGGCATCTCCTCAAGCCCAGCGTATGCTTCACGCTCTGCCTGTAGTTCTTCGTCGATGTCACCGTCGTCAAAGACTATAATTCCACCCCTTGACGACTGGTATGACTGCGTGATCTTGCCCTTGTCCACCCCCGCTTGTCTCCGCACAAACTCTCCCGTTGCGGGGTCCTGACTTATGGGGGCGGCAAAAACGTTCGTCAGATTCCACGGCCGTCTCGCGTCCAAAAGCCAGACCTCGACATCGCCAGTGCCACCCTCGCCATCCTCATCCACGTCCAGGCCTAGTATCTCTTCCATGTCCACCATGCCTCCGACGCCCAGACATATTACGACGCCTCCACTTCCACCGTCCGTTGTCCGCATCGGCCGTACCAGCTCTTCTGCCGCCCGTGATAGGTCTCCATATCCGGCTATCGGTTGGATCTTGTGTTGTATGTAGTCGCGCTTCAATAACGCGGTGAGGATTCGGCAGGCACAAAGCGCGTCTGGTTCGAGGGCGACGAGGAGTAAAACAGGCGGTGCGGCGGCATGTGTGCGTTTTATGAGGTTCTGGTATAGGTGGGCTATGAGGTTTCGCGGAAGGTACATGGCGGCGGCGGTAGAGTGGTTTGCCCTGCGTGCGGGTGTCGAGAAAACGCGCTGCGAGACGCGTCGAGAGGATTTGAGAGGGGCTGGTGGGGCGGCGTGAAGCTTATGGTATGCTCTGCATTTGCGGGGCGAAGAATAGAAGACGTGATTAAAATAAAGAGTATGACAGAAGGGCAATTGGCATGCGTGGGTGCGGGTGCTTGCACAGCTCGTAGGCGTGTGGTATCGAGGATGGGCGAGACGCGTTCGGCGCTAGCCGCGGAAATGGCTTCGCTCGGACGCGCCTCTGACGTGAACATTCACCCTCATCTCGATTCCGATCGCGTCTCATCTCCTATAAATTGTCAGCGTCAAAGGAGAAGAGCTTGTCCCATTTCGCTTTCGTTCCTCTGTCCTAGCAGTAAAGAAGCTGTGTGAGTGCATCTCACTCTTCCAGAACTTTACTTGTGAACAGACACACATGTTGTTGTCATCATCACACCTGCACAGCAACACAGCGTTCATATAGAGTATGTACTCTCACACATTCGTCGGGGTTACAGTTCAGATTAGAAACAGGACTACTGAGAAGCTTCGTAGAAACAGCTCGCGTGTTGCAAGAGTACACCCGTGCCGCTCCAGTACATTCGCCATTCCAGATTCAGTCCATCAAAAGAACATACTGTTCAACTGCCATAACCCGGATCTCATAGCGGTCGTCGACTCTTTGCTCCAGCAATACTTCTTCTCCGTTCAACGCTGGCTCTCACGGTCGCGCCTGAGAGCTTCCAAGTCCTCGAACCGAGGGAGCGCGACCCTGAAGCTCTCTCTAAACATGTCGACATAGTCGTGTTCAGTCTTCCTTTCCATGAACTTCTCCTTGGCCTTTTCGAGTTGTACCAGAGATGCGACGATGTCGTAACGGTGATCGAGGTTTTTACCGTGGGTGTCACCCCATTTGGTCAAGCCTGGATTGACAGTGAACGCCACTACGCCCTCGTCGATGTCTTCGCCATCAGGATCCGGGATATAGTTCATGGACTCTGCTGCGAATGTGTCTCCTACTTTGGGATATGTGACCTGGAGACGGGACTTCTGGAGTGACATATGTGCGGCCAACGCGAATGCTTTGTTGACGATGTTGCCCACTTGCGAGACATCGGGATCGGAAGAGATCTTCTTAAGGCCGTTCTCGATAGTGGTCTGGATCTTGTTGCGTGTGGCAATGACGGCGGGTTCCAGTTGCTTGGGCACTTCATTCATCTTTCCGTGAGTGATCGCTTCTCGATCGACCAAGGCGAACATGCTCTCCATCGTTGCGCAGCGCCAGTTCTCTGAAAGCGAAGTCGGGTTTGGCCAGCCGTTGACATGATCGGTCACGTACATGTTCTGCCAGGCTGTGCTCAGTACTTCGCAGTCTGCACCAAAGATCGAGAAAGGTGTACGAAAGATGTCGTCGATGAGGATGGACCAGACCCAAGCTTCAACAAACTGCTTCTTCCTTGCTCGGCTGGTCCAATGGTGGTGAGATACATTCTGTTGAAGACAGCCAGTTCCAAGGGCGTCCGCAACATCGAGTTCGCTCACGGCGCGAACGGTGCGGCTCAAGGTCTTGACGAGTGAAGCAATTACGCGGAATTCCTGCGTGAAATCGTCGTCAGATGCAGCGTGTACCTTCTCGACTCGTCCGAGCAACTCCTTCTGTAGCGACGAGATCTGATCTTGCATAGGGCCGCGTTCTGCAGCTTCTCGAGCCAGGGAGGCCAGGGTATTGCAGAACGATTCCGGGCTGAATATGTCTATGCTCTCCCCAGTCGCATACGAGTGAGGTTTAAGGTACTCGTCAATGGCGCGAGTAATGAGCTTGGTCTTCCAGTTCAATGAGTACTCTTTCGTCGCAATTGTCTTGTCTTGCTCTTCAATCTTCTTGCTCTGCTCGCCGATGGTCTTCTCTTGTTCTCCAATAGTCTTGTCTTGTTCTCCAATCTTCGTGATCTGCTCTGCGATGATATACTTGAGCTTGCGATTCTTGGACTGAACCTTGGTGTACTCGGCGCGATGCTCTGCGATTTCTTCATCGCGCTTGGTAAGTGTAAGCTGGAAAGCGGCGATGAGATTTTCCTGTTCTTCTGTCGAGTGCGTCGTCTCGCGTACGTGCAAAGGCATGTCTTCGTAGTTGCCTGCTGACTGCATCGTCGCAGACCTCTTCCGAACGCCGTCGCTCTTGCTCCTCTTGTGGCTATCGTCTAGAGCTGTTTGTCTTGAGGACGAATCGACGCCGAGGGTCCTAGTGCGATGGCCCGATTCGATCGGGTGAGAGCGGTGTGAAGTGCCCATGGCAGCTTCGTACTGATCACAGTCAATTAGCACAAAGTTACTCATGAATGGATGAAGACTCACTACTCCTACTAGGTATCTGACCAAACCTGGCATGGCAATCTCATACGACCGATTGGCTGGATGTCTTGAAGCAGTGTTGTGTGGTCTCCGTCGGTGGGTGGTGAGTGAAGGGTGTGGTTTGTGTTGCGCGAAAACACACCGACGCGCGGACTCACTCTCACCTTCACTTTTCCTGACGAAATTTTCAAAGTCTCTCGCTAAATATTTTTGTGCTCGCACAAGAACTGCCTCTCCCCATCTCCAACGCACGCATAATCCATCCTCCACCTCACCTTGCATCGACACTTGCCCACTATGCGCGGCAATCGCCTGATCATAGCCATCGACTATGGCACTACCTTCACCGGTAAGCGTGATCCTTGAGATACTCGCAGCATTGGGCGGGAGCTGACATTGCACAGGTGTCGCCTTCTGCGAAACTTCGGATACAGGTGTAGTCGGCAAGACCATTATCTTGATCCAAGACTGGCCGTGTCGCAATACCAGGATCGCAACCAAGGACAAGGTCCCCAGCGAGCTCGCGCTGAAGGACTTCGCCAACTGGGGCTCACTCATCGCTCCAAATGAACAGCGCCATATGTGGACTAAGCTCTTGTTGGATGACCCCAAGGCTGGCGAAGTAGACAAGATCATGAGGGAGCTGTCACTCAGTAGTGATCAAGGATCATCTGCTAAGCCGGTTGAGATCATCGCAAAGTATCTCGCGCATATCAAGGCCCATACGATCAAGAACCTCGACATTCACTATGGAAAAGGCCTCTGGCGAACTCTTCCTCTCACTCTCGTCGTCACAGTTCCAGCTGTATGGTCAGATGCTGCCAAGCACTCAACTCTACAAGCTGTCGACAAAGCCGGGTTCAACAACATCGAGCTTCCTCAGCTGAAGAGGATCGTGCTTACAACAGAGCCTGAAGCGGCTGCCATCTACACCATTCAGTCTATGCGTGGAGGCATTCAGGATGATCAGTTTGCTGTCGGCGACGGGTTCATCGTGTGTGATATGGGCGGAGGTACAGTCGATTTGTGAGTCCATCGCACCTACTATATATAAGCCGGGCAACCACTAACGTATTGAAACTTAGGATCTCATACCGCGTCGCTGAGCTGGATCCAACAACATTGGAAGAAGCTACAGTGGGCAGTGGTGATCAGTGTGGCGGTAGCTTTGTCGAGCGAGGCTTTATGAAGTGTTTGGAGCGTCGCCTAGGCACTGCCGACTTTATCTCGATCGCCGGAGAGAGAAGTGAAGATCTTCCTCGTACATCGCTGTCTCCCAAGCTCTCACGCATGGTTCAGGACTTTGTGATGGAGGTCAAGACCGGTTTCTCGGGTCACGAGACCAGCTTTCTGCGCTTACCCGTTCCTCTGAGCTCTGTCGAAGACGACGAGGCTAGAGGTATCCAAGATGGTGAAATCATGATCACTCCGTAAGTTCATCTAGGCGAGGCTTGAAGCAGCTTCTAACATTCACAGGGCTGATATCAAGGAAATGTTTGAGTTTCCGCTTCGTCGCACGTACGAACTCTTGCTTGAGCAGATCGTTCAGGCACGCCGCACTGGTAACGTGAAGCTTAAGGTATGTCAGAGCCTTATCTTCCCAACTAATATATTGGAACATACTTACAAGACTAGTTCGTCTTCATGGTGGGTGGCTTCTCTGAGTCGCCCTATATGTACGAGAAGATCAAGCTGTTTGCCGAATCTCATGGTCTGGTAGCGATCCGACCTGCTCACGCGTAAGTGACACTTCCGACCATCAATCTCACAAATACTGACTTGATCTAGATGGTCGGCTATCGTCCGAGGCGCAGCTGCGAAGGGCCTTGAAGGCGACGGCCGCGCCCAGATCACGAACCGTAAGTGTCGTAGACACTACGGCACCCAAATCCGTAACGTATTCGTCGCTGGCCAGCATGACGAGGCCGATGGATCCCGGTGTTCATTCACGGGTATCAAGATGGCTACAAAACAGATGATGTGGTTACTGGACAAGGGTCAAGATCTCTCTTCGAAGTCAGAGTCGCATGCGTACTCGGATTTGGTGTGTTACTTTTGGCCTCAATCTCCGCGTACTGCTACTCTGGCTTTGCTAGCTTGCAATGCTGAAGAGGCCCCTACCCGTTCATCTGACAAGGTGAGTTGCCGAAGTTTCAAGCATATCACGAATTCTTTTGACTGACCAAATATAGCGTGTCTTCACGGTTGCCACGCTGGTAGTCGACTTGAGCGGAGTTCCCCAGAGTGCGTATGAAGCTTGCACAAGCATCAGTGGTGGGGCCTACTACGAGTTGAACATTAAGATCGAGATGATCATTCAGTCTTCTCTGGAGTTCTCTCTCTTGGTCAAGGGCGTTCGATACGGAGCCGTTACCGCGACCTATGCTTAAGACATAGATACACGGTCAGCATGCACACGACGCATATACACTCGGTATTTGGTAGCGACGCTTATTTCGTTGTAAGCTTTGGTATGGAATCGTTGCGAGTGTTGCTGCTTGGAGCATGGCGAAGGGTTGGGGAATACATTGGTGGCTCTTGATGTAATGGCACGACTATGATCGTTGCGTATCCTTCAGGCTACCGTATGAGCTTTTCCTCAAGATACGAATCATGGAGACACACCACGAGCTGGTCGTCTTGTTTAGTTGCACAAGTAGCAAATCAAGCACTCACCACAAACTTTAATGCACCCTGAACTCCCTCTCCTCCTCCCACCGTGACACCACCCCATCCTGCCCACCACGCCGCAACCACCCCATCACCCCCTCCAACCACGCCTCCCTCAGCAAACCCCCTTTCAACCCCTCAACAATCATCAAACCCCCACCAATCACCACCTCCCCCTCTGCCAAGCCCCCAAACTCTCTCGGCCCAACCGTCCCTTAGCACCACGCACTAAATCACGTTACCTCCAGCTCATGCGCGTCATCTCACCAACCATGCCCTTTCCAGCCATACAGCCGACGCGAAAAGTGGGGCCCAACGATCCCCAAGGCAATGAGTGTGAAACGGCGATCGTGGGAAAGGTTTAGGGTGCTGTGTGGCGTTTGAGCTTGACGGGCGGCGCGGTGGCTTGGGTTAAACGCGAAGACGCGCGAATGTACGCGAAGCACGCGATGGGGGAAGCGAGGCGAGGGGCTGGGTAGCTTGGGTTGGGTCCGGCAGTGAAGGGAGGGGGGGTTGTGGTGCGAGTATGGGCTGGAGCGAACCGAACCATTACCAGTTTCTTCTTGCTGGGGCAAGCAGATGGGGGTTGTGGTAGGAATAGTGTAACGTGTTTGCATAGATGGGAGTGTCTGGTAGAGAGACGGGAGGGACTACGGCTCGAGAGAAATGTATTCCACGGTCTTCATGACCTGTTTGTTAGATAGATGGACCAGTTCCCTACCAGAAGAGCCTGCGACACGTTCATCCTGTCACTCAACCGCCCCCAAACCTTCTCCATCCTCACTGCGCGATGAGAATGCAGCCCAACACGAAAACCACCAACCCAGCTAGCACAGGATCTCGTCTTCGTATCGCCGCAAGAGCATGGCCTGTGTTAAGTTAGGCACAAATTTGCCCGCACAAGAATCTCGTACCATTTTTCGTCAGCTGTGACGGGAAACCCCGCTGTGTTGCTACTGCACGGCATCGCCCGATGTCACCAGGCAGGTTTTCGCGGCTGTCGATCACTAGTTCAAGCGCGAGTCTGAGACTGGAAGTGCGCAATGAGATCTACGCTACACATTCGCTTTCGCATGTGACGGTGGTAACGAGCCGAGTGGCCGTCTTTGTCTTCCAAATCTTTCAGGGCTTGCACGCGCTGGTAGTGTAGTACGGCATTGGGGGGTTGCGATGCGGAAGGCACAGCTCATCATCAGGCGCATCACTCATAGGGATTCAGTGTGTAATTTTGAATTGTTTGTATTTTAAGTTCGGTGGGCGGTGTGTTTTTTTGATCCCAAGGAGGGTAGGGTTACTACTCTCTCCATTGACAGTGTGATACCTAGTACCGTAGCGATGTATAAGAAAGGAACAAAAAGAAAGACGACGTCATGTTGTCGTGATTAATGACTCCGTACCCAAATGCATAATGCCCTCGTCATAACACCATGCTGATAAAGAAAAGCGTGGGGACGACGACGTCCGAAACCACGCGCAAACCGAGAGTGTAGAAAGGGTTGAGACCGCTAAGTCAAATACCCATCGAAAACTGAATGAACGAGACGGACGCGTGATGCGATGCCTTCTCCGACGTGTGCTTATCATATGAACTCGACCTGGTCATCATATTTCGACCAGGGGAATTCTTCCTCCGCCTCGTCCTCGCATGACTGAATCTTGATATCGGGGCAAAACTCGAGCAAGCCGGTCGCAAAATCTCGATATGGAGGAAGACGATCGCGGTCTTCCTAGACCTTATAATCCGTCTCCTGTTGAATCTTCTGATCCCATGGATCAACATTTGGATGATCGACGTACGAGGGTACCATGTTAAAGTTCATGGAGTTGTACACCTGGTGACTTGGGTGACCTGGGTGACCTGGATGACCTGGATGACCTGGATGACCTGGGTGGAATGGCATCCGTGGTGGCTGTGCGAGAGTGGAGGAAGCGTACAAATTCATGCTATTTGGGTACGCTGGTAGAGGCGGGGGGTCAGAGCCCAAGTTGGTAGGCAAGATATAGCCAGAGTCTTCCCTCCTCCTCTTGGATGGCTCGTAGTCGTAGGCGGGGTGGTCCATGGGTGCCTGTGTGGTCGGTTCTGGGTTTAAGGGTAGAGTGTATTCTTCCCTTCTTCTCTTGGATGACTGAAACTCGTAGCTAGGGGCGATCTGTGCCTGGGAGGTAGGCTCTGAGTCTGCCTGGAACGAACGCTTGTTGTTCATCATCCCTCTAGCTTCTTTGCGCAACCTGAGTCGAACGCCCTGGTCGGAGAACGCCCGCGAGAGATACGTAGACTCTTCGAGACCCTTGAAGTCTTTGGGAAGTACGACGTCGAACTTCTCACTCAGTGTAGAGCCGAGGTTCTGGACCTCCCCACGTGAAGGGTGGAACTCGTACATGCTGAAACACAGCCTGAAGCTGCCCTGAATCCGGACAGATATATCGCCGAAGACGAAGAAACCGCCGTCCTTGTTATCGACATCCTTGAGACGATGCAGGGACGACACCAGTGTGCCGGCCATGGATTCATTGGGAGTGTGTTCGACGGGCTCATCTCTGTCCGCTTTGTACAGGGATGCACTGAGGAAGATGTAGGGGTTTTGTAAGAAGCTGTTCGAGGCGTCAACGCGATCCCGAAGGTTGAGCTGGAGAATGGGTGGAGGATCCACAGGCTTCCGGAACTTTTCCTTGCTCTTGACCGCGACCAGTGCCTCTTTAGGCTGCTGGCGGACGGACAGGTAACAATTGTTCGGGCTCAAAGGCTCGGGGCCTTGACTTGCGACTGGTAGTGTGACAGGCATGTGCTGTTGATAGTAGGGCTGGTTATACTGCGGCGGCATCGGGTGGTGCGGATACATGGTTGGGATGTTCATGTTCATGGTCTGGCCCTCTGTAGCAGAGGTCGGCGGTCGTAATCGTGTTGTAAGGAACCCAAGGATCAAGTCTCAGAGACGCCCGAGAATGTGGTGGTGAGATGGAGTCGTCCGGTCGAAAAATACTGAGAACATAAGAGAATTTGGAAATTCGGCTAGCGACCTTTGAGAGAAATACGCGAAAGGTGACCAATCGAACAAAGGTTTGAGTCACTACGGAGTGCAGTGCCGTCCGAAGGTGCTGCGTGACCAGTGATTGTAGTGGTAATGAGCGATGAAAGTGCGAGTGGATCACCGTTCCATGGGTGGAAGACCCTTTTCGGAGAAAGTGCCGTCAAAGCGCGGCTGCCTGCTCTCAGTGTTCCAGTCCAGCACAATCGATAATAATGCGTGTCCTCGTATGGTATGCGCTGCCTTTCTCAAAATTGGAGGCACCTCTGGAAAGCGTCGATATCAGAATGGCGCGCGCGGGAGTGGATCTGGCGCTCGCCTTGCAACGGGACCGAACTAAAGGCCCGCCTGCGGAGAGAAGGTTGACTCCACCCTTGACCGTGACTTCCAACAGAAATAGGCGCAGGTATAAGCAACAACGAAAAATGTGTACTGCGCCTGCGTCGCTCAGCACCTGCAGTGTGGAACCCGTAGAACACTGTACTTTCCGCACTGTCTCCGCAAGGCATAGCACCAGCTTGATGTCGAAGAGGAGTTTGCGATTGAACTGAGGTTACGCAGGTCTGGTACCGAACCGTGGTCGAGAGTGCCCTGGTGTGCTCCGAATATTACAATAAAGAGGGCCGTTTCCAACGGCTTCGAGGGTATTAGTGTCGTGCTGGTCGACCAGTCAAGCAGCGATGACGTGTCGGGGGGTAAGTCTAGGGTAATCTGGTAATATTATGGAATTAGAAGTGAAGGTCAGAGGAAGAGCGTCGAGGGCGACGACGTCGCAGTGCTCATGAAGGAAGACGCACAAGAGTAAGACACAAGATAGAAGAGCTGGCAAGGGTACCTCGAGGTAGTCGTCTCAATCGGGGCTCCTCTACACTCGTGCTTCCGTGGCGGCTTCGACGGTGATTCGTCGCTTCCCGTCTAGTCTCGAGTGCAACTGGTGCCGAGCGCGGCCGATCAGTGCTGTAGGGTCTCTCCGAGCTAGCGTGCTAAGAGATGAACGAGCGGCGGCGTGAATCATGCGAACAAGCTCTAGTGCAGCCAATCGATCGTCGCCTGGGCTTCTTTCTTCTTCTGTAGGCACGGTCGCTTTGGAAGCTAAGGTTTCTCGCTTGTTGACACAGGCCTGGTTGATTTTGCTCTTGCACCTCGTCGAGTCCGGAGAGGGCTGCAGTGTGGTTGATGCGTTCTGCAGATGACGTCGAGGGTACAATCGAAAACGACAGGACGGTATGCACTCAGCGAAATACCGGGTTTGCGATGGAAATGGGATCTTGTCCAGCCCGCTGGCGCATGTGTCAGCGTGCAAGGACGGCACGGCGGGACGAGGTACAAGAAGACAGGCTGGTCGCAGATGCTGTGCCGTAGTGCAGCGACTGTTCTATATGCTCAACAGCACTTTCGAATGAAGCCGAAGAGAGCCCAAGGGTCGTTTGGCGCTAGAATGCAGCAATAGCCCGTCCGCACTATGCTGCCAGAGCGAGGGTAACCCATGCAGCCGGATGGCAGAGCCTGGCTGCACAGACTGCGCGGCAGTAGAGCAAGGATAGCGAGACGGCTTGGATTCAACGGCAATCCCAGGTTTGGGGTTGGTAGGGCACTGTCCAAGGGCATCGAACGGGGGACCCGGTTGCATGCAACGGAAGAGCCCCATGTCTGTAGACACTCACAGAGACGCTCGGAATTTAGCCACTGCAACT